TTTCCCCAACCAGGATCCTGTAAGTCTGCTTTAACATATAAAAATTCCTTTAGAAATTTCCTTTATCTCTAAACCCCCCAAGATACATGTTGACAATCATCTCCCAAGCATAATGGCCCACTAATTTACATCTGAGGTGTCTCATGACTAAGGTTTCATTAGACAGTAATAAATGACCTTTTCTCAACAATAGCGAGCCCCCTTGAAGTCCTGGAAACCTTGCTTCCAAAATTCCTCAGAGACTTATGCTCTCCCTAACCCCCTCCCAACTTGAAAGTATATAATGGGCCACTCCTCTTGACCGCAATGTAGTTCTTTTTGCCTACGGGTCCTGTCCCTGTGCTTTAATAAAACCAAATTTTGCAGCAAAAGCCAAAATTTTGCACCAAAGAGGTCTCAAGAATCCTTTCTTGTATAATGTTTTTTTTTTTAAAGTGAATGAAGCTAAGTGCTGTGTGCATGAAGTTTGTTGTATTATTTTTTTATTCTTGTCAATGTCCTTGAATCCATTCACAGCTTTTAGAAAATTAAAAAGAAGCAAAAAGAGAAAATGGAAAGTAAATATCATGCAAAAAATTTGGGGGGAAATTTCCAGTCCTGAATTTGTGTATTATCAGACTGCAAGGTTCCACTGACTATCCAGTATTGTGAATGAAAAAACTCTCTCACCAGGACATAGTACTGTGAAATTTAAGAACATCAGAAATAAAGAGAAGATCATAAAAGCTTCCAAAATGAAATAGATTACATTTTACATACATACATACTAGAGGTCCCTGCCACATCAACATTATAAAGAGAGCCATTCCATGGTATTTCACTGTATGGATTGACTCTTACCAGTCCTTTATTGATGGACTTTGGGATTGTCTCCCCCCCCCCTTTTTTTGGATATTTTTGTGTATTTATTTGTCAGAGAGAGAGCCCACACAAGCAAAAGTGGCAGGCAAAGGGAGAAGCAGGCTCCCCACTGAGCAGGGAGCCCAATGCAGGGTTCAATCCCAGGATCCTAGGATCATGACCTGAGCTGAAGGCAGACACTTCACTGACTGGGACGCCTAGGCGCTCCCCTCTTCTTTTTATCATAAGCAATGCTACAACTAATTATCTTGTACATGCAATAAGTTGAAGTGTACAAGTATATCTGCAGGATATTTTCCTCAAAAGGAGCTAAGTTGGGGCGCCTGGGTGGCTCAGTGGGTTAAGCCTCTGCCTTCGGCTCAGATCATGATCTCAGAGTCCTGGGTTTGAGCCCTGCATCGGACTCTCTGCTCGGCGGGGAGTCTGCTTCTCCCTCTGTCTCTGCCTATTTATGGTCTCTCTCTCACTTTGTCAAATAAATAAATAAAATCTTAAAAAAAAAAAAAAAGAAATCCCTGTAATAAAAAACATTAACAAGAGAAAAACAAGTTTATTAACATGTATACTTCATGGGTACACAAAAAAAAATATCTAGAGAAAAATGAGCAATGAAAAAGTAACAGGATTTAATTTAACAGGGAAAGGGGACAGGAGATGTAGGCCTTTTAGGGGACAGTAAATGATTTTTAGTAAAGATGAATAGGGCCCTTAAGAGAACAGGTGGGAGGTGTGACCAATGTGGGAAACAAATGCAAAAGAAAGAATTAAATTTTCTTACTGCCTATAGCCCAGTGACAAGTCCCTGAAACAGGGAGAGTGAACTTCCTCTGGGATCTCAGCTGCCTTGATGTTGTTGACACTTTGCTAAACTGTCAATCTTAGCTTAAGATTATCCTGATGCCTCGGGATCCTGTTCATTTTACTTTAACATATAAAAATTCCTTTGGAAACTTCTTTTATTTCCACCCCCCCCAAGATATATGTTAGCAATCCATGGATATGGCCCACTGATACACATCTGAAGGGTCTCATGACTGAGTTCTTACTAAACAGTAATAAATGACATTTTCCTAACAATAGCTAGCCCTCAGGATCCTGGAAACCTTGCTTTCAAAATACCCTGAAGGCTTGTGCTGTCCCCAACCCCCTCCCAACTTGACAGCTTATAATCAGTCACCCGTCACTACCCCAGTGCAGCTCTTTCTGCCCACCAATCCTGTCCCCCGTGCTTTAATAAAACCACTTTTTTCCACTGAAGATGTCCCAAGATTTTTTCTTGGCTGTGGGCTCCAAACTCCATTTCTACATCATGATCATTTGGGACAAATTTATCAGGGTGTGGTGTCAACTTCTTCCCTAGTTGATGAAACTTGGGGAAGGGTATTTGCAACAATTGAGTTTATTCTGGAGGATCTGTCTAAACAGATAAGGGAAATTCAGAGAAAGCCTCTTTCCACATTTGCTGTTTTTCAAGTGCCTACAGCTCAAAATGATCAAACTACCAAAGGCGCATAGGTGAGGAGCTGTGCTCTGCGACCCTTCAGCAGCGCAACAGAACTTAAGACAGCAACAGCATCCTTCGGGCTGCTCTGTTAAGAACAGACTGTGGGGAACCCAGGTAGAAGCAGATGCAACTCCTAAGAGGTTTACTGCCCTAACCAATAGAGAGCCCATCAGCCCAAATGTAGGAAAATGGATGCAGTGCTATATTCACAACCAGACTATTATAAAGAAAATTAATTGTAACTCAACACCATAGATAAACCGTAGAAACACTGTTAAGTGAAAAAAAGCAAGTATCAGAGGCTTACCGATGGCGTGATGCCTTTTAGATGAGAAAGAAGAACACTAAGCCATATAGTGTTTGACCATGCGTACTTATCTAGTAGACCTATTCTTTCAAAAAGAGAATAAACACAGATTATAGGGGTTACCTCTGCTGAAAAGAAAACCACAGGCCCAAGGTGGAGTTACTTGCCCCCAGAATAGCAAACCAGGACGAAATTACAGTTGCGTTCTCTTCAGGAGTGAAATTTTAAGCAATAATCAAGAATTTTCTCGTCAGCACCAGTAAGGTCACATGGGCCCTCTTCATTCCCTCCCCCCACGCCCCCGAGAAGATGAGGTAATCTGCATGATAAAACCCCCCGTTCACACGCCACCCCTCCATGAAAGGCCCCCTTGCCCTGAGACAAAGCTTTTCCTTTGGCTAATAACTCCTTGCCCCACTCCTCTTCCTACAAAACCTTTGGGTTCTGTACCACTCGGCCCTCCTCTCCACTCACTACGGCTTACTGAAGTGCAGCTCTTGCCTCTTACTCAGTTAAATTTTGGCTGTTTGCCACCGCACGAGAGAGGAGTTGCCGAGGACACGAGGCGCAGTAACCTTAAGTTACCGTCAGCATTCCAGACCTCACACTCTGGCTCACCGACTCGAGAAAGTGCGCGCTTCGGGCCACGCGCCGGCCGTCGTGAGCCCGGGGTGTAACCAGCCCCGTGAGGTCTGGGCGCGGTGCGTGCCCTTCCGTTCCACCCCCCAGACTGAGGCCCAAGGCGAGGCCGCGTTCCCCGCCACACAGGGTGCAAGGACCCCACCCTAGAGCCCGGAGAATTTCGGTAGCCTAGGAAGCGGCCCAGGAAACGGGAGTCAGAGCGCGGCGGAGACGCCAAGACTTCTGGGAGTCGCAGTCCAGCGCCGGGCTGCCTTCTGCGCAGGCTCGGAGCCCACGAGGACGGAAGCTTTAAGAGAGGGTGCAGCGCCGTGCCCCCACCGGAAGTGTCCGATCGGAACCACCCTGTGGGAGAGGTGAGTCCGGGTTTGAGGACCCACCGGTCCGACCTTTTGTCCCCTCCAAGCACCCAGTCTCTACCACCTTACTTCGGGATTGCTACAGCCCCGCGGCGCCCCGGAGCCGGGACCGCGGAGGAATCCCGAAGAAAAGTGGCCCGGAGGCTCGGCGTTCAGAGTACACTACGCCCGCCTACTTCCAGAGGGGGGTGGTTGCCATGGTTACCCGCGTCGCCGTTACGTCACCGCCGCGGGCGGGGCGGAGTGCCGGGCTGGGGCGTCCGGCCGCGGTGCGGAGTCACTGCCGGGGTTGAGGAGCCCGGCGGCGGCGTCTGGAAGGCGGCTTCCAGCCGCGAGGAGCTGCCCGGGAGCCGGTCCCGACGGCCGCCTCTCGCGAGGAGAGTTCCGGCCTTCTCGTAGGGAAAGCGGGCGGCCCCGGCCCCGTCGTTCCGCGTGTGTCGTTCTGCGTGTGCCCGGGACGCGGTGGAAGCGGAGGAGACGGCCCGCAGAGCGGGTGGTGGGCAGCCCCGCGGCGTGCTCGGTGCGGGAAGCCCGGCTGCTCCCCCGCACACCGCGGCGCCCGCCCTCCCGGCACGACCCTTCCCTCCTGCGTGTGCCGGCGGCGTCGGGAGGCCTCTCGGGCTCTGCTCCTGTCCAAAGACTGTGAGAGCTCGGAGAGCGGGAGAGCGTGGCCCTTGACCTCATGGAGTAATGGTCATTGAAGAAAAACAGCCAAAGCTAGAAATAATTTGCTGTGATCTGTGCGGTAGTCAGGGGTGTTACGTAGGAATTCCGCAGAGTTGTCACAACAAATACTAGCCCTGCCAGCTCGGCTCTCCCTCGGTCTGCTGTTCATTCCCATTTCCTCAGCTTTCCCTTATGACTTTTGAATCTTTCCCTTTTGAATCTTGTATTGTCCACCTTAAGGACCAGCACCTCTAAGAAGTATTTGCTACGCCCGCGTGTACACACACACACACACACACACACACACACACGTCGTCTCCCTGCCTCTAAACCGTTAGGGTGTTTCATACCGCTACCTTACAACTTGTTTAGTCCTTCGGTTTATCGCATTGATCAGCATTTCAGTGTGTGATCTGTGAAACATAACATTTAGATATTTAAATGTTTTGGTTTTTTTTTAAGATTTTATTTATTTATTTGACAGAGATTACAAGTAGGCAGAGAGGCAGGCAGAGAGAGAGGGGAAAGCAGGCTCCCCGCCGAGGAGAGAGCCCGATGCGGGGCTCGATCCCAGGACTCTGGGATCATGACCTGAGCGGAAGGCAGAGGCTTTAACCCACTAAGCCACCCAGGCGCCCCAGATATTTAAATGTTTTTAATCCACGTGGGTTTTATGTCTCTTTCCCAACTGTTTTTAGAAACTCAAGCACCATTTGATTCCTTGGGGCTGTACATCAGAATACGGATTTTCCAGGTATACCCATACTCACCCAGACAGCATCCCAAAAATCAGTTTCTAACAAAGTTTCCACATGATTAATTAGTCAGCTAATTAATGAGCTGGGAACACAGACTTTCTTGGAAACCATTGCTGTACAACTAATAGCCCCGAGTTTGGCTTGTATTTAGATTCTTTGTTTTGTTTTTTAAGATTTTACTTATTTATTTGACTGAGATCACAAGTAGGCAGAGGCAAGCAGAGAGAAAGGGGGAAGCAGGTTCCCTGCTGAGCAGAGAGCCCGATATGATACAGGGCTGGATCCCAGGACCCTGGGATCATGACCTGAGCGGAAGGCAGAGACTTTAACCCACTGAGCCATCCAAGCGCCCCAAGATTTTTAATAAAGTACATATCAGTACGATCAGCAATCAGCTGGTGAAATGTGTAGTAGAAGGCCCTGCAAGATTAATACTTGCATTCTGCTCTCACATTCTAGGCTTCACATCTACATTCCTGTTACTCAGTTTTTCAGTGCAGAAACCAGACATTCCCATGTGCTAAGACTGGAGGAACTGGTGTTTAGTAACAAGACTCACAGTCGACAGATAAGTCATGGTGCTGGTTTATTATATTTAACTTTCTTGGTGAGATGATAGGACTTAATGTCCAAGATATGAACTGAGCCACAAAACTAGGAAGATAGAGAAGGAACTGTTGGGATATCTGTTATATCCCAACAGATAACAGGAAACCTATCTATCTGAGACCTTTGGGGAAGGAACTAGTTAACACTGATTGAAACTTAGCCTCTGGCTCTCAAGGAAAGTTGCCCTGGGGCACCCAGCTGGCTCATTCGATGGAACAGGTGATTCTTGATCTTAGGGTTGTGAGTTCCAGCCCCACATTGGGTGCAGAGATTACTCAAAATCTTTTAGGGGTGCCTTAGATGGCTAAGCATCTGTCTTCAGCTCAGGTCATGATCCCAGAATCCTGGGATCAAGCCTGCTTCTCCCTCTCCCGTTGCCCCTGCTTGTGTTCTCTTGCTCTCTCTGTCAAATAAATAAAATCTATTTTTTAAAAAAATCTTTTAAGAAAAGTTACCCTATTAAGAGATTTGTAGGTGATCCTAATTCCAGATTTTGAATTAATAATTATCATTTCGAGCTTGTATTTTCCTCACATTTGTATAAGTATGGCCTATGTTTCTCTTTTCATGTTGCAGTCCATCCTAGAAATGAACATGTTAATCTCCACAAACAGTATTTGTCAGGTCATTCTGCTCAGAAGCTTTCCTTGGCTCCCCAGTGCCTAAAAGATAAACTCTGAGTTCAGGATCTTGGCATTGAGGCTTTCTATGGTAGGGCCTTTGCCTCTGTTTTTTCCTTGTACAAACCTACTGAACTTTTTGCTTTCCCACTTCTGTGATCCTACCATTAACCAGTTGTTCAGACTGTTTCCTTGCTTGTAATTTCCTACTTTTCTCTCTCCCTCATCCTATCAAATTCTTTACATTCTTCATAAGTTAATTTTTCATGAAGTTTTCCCTGACCATTGTAGTCTGCTTTGCATTTCCCTGCATTGCAACTCCTTTGCATCTCCAACTTTGTGAAGCACTTTATTGTTTTCCTCTGCTGGTCCTTATTGTCTTTATGACTTAACATATAATTTAATTGCAAGTGACATATTAACATGTAGCATTGCCTGAAATTTTTAAATCTTATATTTATTGTTTCTACTTTAAAGTATTTTGTTTTTATGGGTGCCTGGGTGGCTCAGTTGACTAAGAGTCCATCTCTTGATTTCTGCTCAGGTCATGATCTCAGGGTCGTGGGACTGAGCCCAGCCTTGGGCTCTGAGATGTGCTAGGAGTCCGCTAGAGATTCTCTCTCTCCCTCTCCTTCTGTCCATCCCCCGGCTCACACATATGCGCCCTCTCTCTCCAAAATAAATAAATGAATTTTCCAAAGAGTGGAATTTTGTTTTTAAATTTAAATTTGAAAGTGTTTTGAGATAGAAATTATGTAACAATTTTATTCCACAAAGTATTTCAGTGCTTTTACATAGAGTAAATGCCAAGTATACTTCTGGGCAATGGAAAATGACTATTTCTGTGATGTGATCTTTCATCTTCATAGACAGTAATAGTTCTTTTTTATCCCTTAGAAGAGCCCTTGAAACTAAGTAGGACGTTTCACAAAGCAGAAGTGGGTTTCCTGGTAATACATTTCATCCCAAAATGACGACAGAATCAAAGAAAGCTACAGCTCAGAACCTTCAGGAGAATGAAGGGCTTCTCATAGTGAAGATAGAAGAGGAAGATTTTGTCTGGAGGCAGGACACTTCCCTCCAGAGAAGAGACCCCTTTAGGCAGGAGTTCTGCCGACAGCTTTTCAGGCAGTTCTGCTACCAGGATTCCGCTGGGCCCCACGAGGCCCTGAGCCGGCTGAGGGAGCTCTGCCATCAGTGGCTGCAGCCCGAGACACACAGCAAGGAGCAGATCCTCGAGCTGCTGGTGCTGGAGCAGTTCCTGACCATCCTGCCCGAGGAGCTGCAGGCCTGGGTGCGGGAACATGGCCCAGAGAATGGAGAGGAGGTGGTCACCCTACTGGAAGATTTGGAGAGAGGTGCTGATGAAGCAGTAGTCCAGGTACACAGGGAATGGGAGATCTAAGAACTCCACATGGACAGAGTCCCACAGTGGGAGGAAAGGGCCTGAGACAGAGCACCCAGGGAGACCTGCAGGGGCTGTTAGGGCAGTGTGTCTTTCTGTCTCCTTTCCACTGCATTTCATGCTGTGCCACATTTCACATTTGATTCAGACTTAATCCGTCCTGCAGTTTTGTATTCCTACAGCGGGTTCTCTTTGTTTTTGGAAGATATTCAAATCCCCAACAGGGATTCTCTCACAAGCCCAAATGTACTTTATTTTTCTCAGGTTCCAGTCCATGCACACAGACAAGAGATACTCGGGAAGAAGGTGGTGCCTCCTGGACCAGCCCTGAGTGTCCAGTTGCAGCCAGTGGACCCCAAGGCCCTTCATGGTTCTTCAGCACCCCTTCTGCTGGACGGCGGTAAGGGGCAGTAGTGCGTGCAGTTTGTGTCGCTGAAGGAGTGGGACTGTGAATGTCTCTTCTCAGAGTAGCCTCAGTTACCATACATGGTCCTTTCCTTTATCACCCCATGAGAAGTAGAGAAGTTTTCCCTGTGTGTCATTGGCCAATTAAAACAAAAACAGAGAGAATTTGGTTCCTTATCCAGAATATTTACATTTTCCCATTTGTTCTTCATCCAGAATATTTCCAAAACACAGGATATTTTTATGAGTAAACTAAAGGAAAGAAAAATTAATGTGTGAGAAAACATCAAGAAATAAATAAGCAAAAAAAAAAAAAAAGGAAGAAACACATCAAGAGAAATAACACGTTAGTAGAAAAGCAGGTACATAATGATATACCCAGAAGTGGAATGTAATTCACAGATACATAGAACAAGATCCACATTATTGTCTTTTTTATTGTACTTTTGGTCTTACAAAGCTTTCATGTTGTTATAGGAAGTCAGCCATACTTCTGGGGACTCCCTGCATGGAATAGTCATCACTGTTCTAAAACTCCTCTGTTTAAAGAGTTCATGGATTCAGTATTACTTTAGGTGTAAATGATCTCAAAAATAAACTCAAGAATAAATTAGTTTTGGGGGCAACTGTGTGGCTCGATTGGTTAAGCATCTGCCTTCAGCTCAGGTCCTGATCTCAGGATCCTGGAATCCAGCCCCACATCAGGCTCCCCTGCTTTCTCCCTCTCCCTCTGCTCCCCCTGCAATAAATAAATTAAAAACTTAAAAAAAAAAAAGTCATGATCTTTTTAAAAATAAATAAATTATAGTCAGTTAAAAATAATACCCAAATTCTGTTTTCCAGTTTGTTCTAGAGATATTTCCACCCACTCCATCCAAAATCATATATTTCCCCCACCCTAAGACCAGCACTGCCTAACCACCTTTCCTGCTATAGCATATTCTAGACAAAGGAAACCCTACAAAAAGAGGGGGTGCTTGATTGCAGCACAATATCGAGTCATAGGCACAGTATAAATTTGTGAGTCAGCAGGCAGGAATTGTGAGGACTTGATCATAAATGGATCCTGGAAACCAGGTGGAGGAGTTCAGGTGTTGTAGAAGAAAAGAGAGGAAAGGTTCTGAGTAGGGTACAGGAGGTGACAGGATTTTAAGGACAGTTAGTCTGGTGAGGGTATTCAGGATGACTAGGAAGAACAGCTCAGAGTCTAGACAGCAGGAAGCTGTGACAGTCCCCAAATAGGAAGAGTGACAAGGGTAGTGGTAGCAGAAATGTAAAGAAGGGGATGTGTTCAGGGCACATTCAGCAGAAAGTACTTACAGAACTTGATTAGCCATGGACATGAAAAAAGGGTAGGTAGATAGATGAAGTTTTCCTCTCCACAGGCATTCTACTTGATTTTACCAAATTTTCTCTTTTGTGTCCTTGTCCAGTACACCTTTCTCTTGAAAAGCCACATTTTTAGAGTGGCCAGGTGAAGTACCAGTATGTAACTGTCTTGGGTATAGCTCAAAATTTTCTTTTCTTCCAACTCAGCAAACAGATAATTTACCACTTTGTCTTTTCATTCTTTTAGATAATGAGAGTGAAAACAATGGATTCATGCCAAAGTTGGACATTTATGAAAAAATGGAATCACAGAAGATTCTATCAGGAAGAATTTCAGGATTCATTTCAGAAGGAATTGCTGAGCCTCAAAACATCTGTAAGTCTGCAGGCAGGCTAAAGAAGCAATGGGAAAAAGAATCAGGGGGTGCTCAGAGACCATCATCTGCTCAGGATGGAGGTTTTAGTAAAATCCTTACCCACAAAAATACACTCACAGGTAGCATTAGCCATGATGGTTGTGAGAGAAGCTTAAACCTGAATTCAAGTGAATTGACACACCAGAAATCTTGTAAACACACTACCTATGACCAAAGTTTCAAATGGAATCCAGATTTTTTTAAGCATCAAAGAATTTATGCTGGAGAGAAAATTCACCAATATGGAACATCTCTCAAAAGCCCAAACCTTATTAAACATGCAGCAATTTTTAGTGGGGAGAAAACCCACCAGTGTAATGAATGTGGGAAAGCTTTCAGACACAGCTCAAAGCTTATCAGGCATCAGAGAATCCACACTGGAGAGAGGCCTTATGAATGTAATGAGTGTGGGAAAGGCTTTGGGGGGAGCTCAGATCTTATGAGACACCAGAGAATTCACACTGGAGAAAGACCCTTTGAATGCAAAGAATGTGGGAGAGCATTCAGCCTGAACTCACATCTTATCTTGCATCAGAGAATTCACACCAGAGAGAAACCCTATGAATGTAGTGAATGTGGGAAAACCTTCAGAGTGAGTTCACACCTCATTCGACACCTGAGAATCCACACTGGAGAGAAACCCTATGAATGCAACGAGTGTGGGAGAGCCTTCAGTCAGAGTTCACACCTTCGTCAACACCAAAGAATTCACAAGAGGGAAAACCTGTTAATGTAAAGAACTTAAATTTTCACAGAAATGCAAAAGAAATAGCAATATGAAAAATATTGAATAAAAAATATGGAGTGAGATGAATGACTAAAAGACCAATATCTCTTTTCTCTCATTCTGAGGCTTGATGTTTTGCTTACGGTCTTCACCTATTGGGGTGGGGGAAAGCTTTCTGTGAGTCAGGATCTTCCTCTCTTCTATTGACTGCTGAAGTCAAGCTAGAAGAGCCAAATTTGGAGGAGGCTAATAAAAAGGCTAGGTTATGGCAATGGAGATAGAGAGGAAATAACATGACTGCAGTATGGAGGGGAAAAGATTCAGTAAAGAAGCTGATCATCAGTATTAGTTAATGATTCTCCTCAAGAGGAGGTAGGCTAAGCCCTGAAGTAGAATAGTTTGAGCAATGAGCAAGACACACAGAGCTTTCAGAACATTCCTTTAAATGAAGGCACAGCAAAACTAAATTAGAAAGTCCTGTCAAACGAGGACCTGCGCAATGGTGGCATTCCAATATGTAGACCAAACTCTATGTCTAGAGGTCATGCCAGGAGGTAAACCAGGAGAGCATCCAAGGCAAGAGGCCAGAACCCATAGAAATTCAAACAAGACAGGAGAGAAGTAAATTAGTCAGGAGTTGGAATTAGAGGTAAGGGAAGGTGGTCACATTTAGCACTTGCTCTATAAAGCAGAGCTTAATCTTTTGTCTTAAAATGACCTTTTCTGAATTTCCCAGATCATTTAAAGTCATTTTGTACCTCAACCTCAAATTTGGAGAAGGCAGTACCATAACTAGGATCTTACTGCCACATATGCCTTTGGCACCTCCCTGGGGTGAGTGGACAGAGCAGTTCTGGGGAGCTCTCTGGACAGAAAAAGCTCTGGCTAGTAACCACCGTGGAGGAGGGCTGAGGGAATTAGCACTGAAGGTCAGGGTTCTGGAATTGTTTCATGACTGCTGGCTGCTCTTCTCTCCATTAAAGACCGGTAGAGAGGATTGGTACCCAAGAGAAGAGTGGAGGGATGAATCCAACAAGTAAGAACACCAATGATTTCAGGATATAAAGGCAAATCCTGCCCTACTGTTTTCCCTAATTTGAAAAATGTAAGGCTTAAATATCCCATCTGTATATAATGTCTTTATCTGAAAACGAGCAAACAACCCCCAGTGTAGAATTAGGATAATCTGATGTACAAAATCTTTCACTAATAGGCTTTATTTAAAAAAAAAAAAAAAAAAAAAGTAAGCATCTGTCTTTTAATTACCTTAAACTAAAAATGTCCTGATAGCATCGAAGTAACCCCACGTGTGTGGTGCGGCGCTGAACGCGTAGCTTCCTGTTTCATACGTGCTGTGCTAATGCTTCGTGTGTCGTGACCGGTCCCAGCGCTGTTTATATGCCCGGTTTTGCGGTGAAACCCGAGCTGTGACTGTCCTGCTCGAAATAGAGGGACAGCAAATGCTGCAACCAGGATTCAAACGCGCGCTGTTCCGGGCCTCGTGCCTAACCGTTAACCTGGATTATGTCCCTAACTATCGCCACGTGACGTAACGCCGCAACAGCCCTCGTGCCCCACAACTTTAAACTGGGGGACTTGGTTCGCACGTCGTTAGCCTTTCAGAAGGTGAACGACTATCCGCAACTCAAAACAGCAGCGCCGCCCCTCGGCGGCCACCACCGAGAGGAGCGTCGGCCAGAGAGGCCGGAAGTGGCTCTGTGCCCCGCCCCCCACCCCCCCGGGGGCCGCCCCTCGGAGGCCGCGCGAAGGTTACCTTCGACTGCGCGAGGACACAACCGAGAGGAGCGTCTCCCAGAGAAGCGGGAAGTGGTGCTGTGCCCCAGGTGGCCGCCCCTCGGAGGCCGTCCCTCGGAGGCCGTGCGGAGGTTACCTCCAACAGCTTCTCCCGGAGAAGCTGGAAGCGGACGACTTTCGCCTGTGGTTGCTACCCAGCTAGCGACAGGGTTGTGTGGCGGCGGTGAGGGGCGCTTCGAGGCCTAAGGCGGGGACCGCGGCCAAGGGCGAAGTCCACAGCGCCCGTCTCTCACTTCTCTGAGGCTGCTGGTGAGGTTTAGGAACAATTCTGAGATGAAAGCGGTGGCTACGGACCGCCCTGACGCCCCGGAGGCAGCGAGCCCGAGTCTGCCCTCCCGGGCCCGTTCGCCTGTATTCACCCCTCCGGCGCCGGCTGTGCGAGGCTCTGGCTCCAGAGAGACAGGACCCTCAGACCTGCCTCTTCATGTGGGGGAACCTCGGCGCCCAGGTTGCCCGTTTTCTGGTCAGGATCAGAAGTTGTTATGCCCGAGTTTTCGTGTCTGAGAGATCACCAAGGAGCCAAGCACCGATGCAATCACACTAGGGTTTATTTGACAAGCTTAAGCCAGGGCTCAAGTATACCCAACACAGTGGAGTAGGGACTTGGACCCCGAGCCAGATTACAGTCAGAGTTTTTAAAGGCAGAGGAGGGGTGGACTCGGTGGTGGGTGAGGACAAAGGGGGTTATGGATGATGTAAGTCTCTAAGGAATTTAGGAAGTGAGGTCTCCAGGACCTTGAGGGGCTAGCTGTTGTCTGAGGAAAAGGTTATTCATTACCAATAATAAAAATCTTCTTGTGAGACCCTTTAGATGTATATCAGTGGGTCATATACTTGGGAATGATTTTCGACACTATCTTGGAGGTTTAGAGATAAAGTTTCCTAAAGGAATTGTTAATGTAGACTTACAGGATTCTGGTCAGACCTGTGGGGTAGGGCGTCGGTCCGGATAGGATTGTCCTTAGCAATCTTGAGGTGAGGGCAGTTAAGTCCCCAGGAGAGAGCCACTCTGTCTGTTTCAAGGGCTTGTCAATAGATGAGGAATTTTAATGATTTTCTTCTCCCTCTGTTTCCCACATCAGCTAAACTTGAGGTGGGATGGCCTTAATTTTCTCAGCCTCCACAAAGTCTTTCCTGTAGATTTGCTTGTGCTGCAAACACCAGCATGTTTGCTTTGGTAACTTTCATTTCATTCCATTTGTAGTCAAGCCTCGCATTCTTTCCGTATTAGAAGTTCTGGTTTGTGCTTCCCGTCACACATAACAAAATTCATCAGGATTCTCGTTTCCCTTTATACTTAATCTTTCAGTGAAGGGTTTTTGCTTTTCTTTTTTTTTTTTAAGATTTTTTGTTTATTTGGGGGGATGTAGCAAGAGTGAGACACAGCTGACCGAGCCACCCAGGTGCCCCGCATTCAGAGGGTTTCAAGATAACTAGTCATATCTTTGGGGTTCCTATATGTACATAATTAAATTTGCTTTTCTCCTGTTAATCTTAAGTCAATTTAGTTTTTAGACCAGCCAAAGAACCTGGAAGGGATAAAGAGAAAATTTCCTGCCCTTACCTGTACAAGGTAAGCATGTTATATCTACACGTAAGCTGAGTGCTGACAGCCAGGGGAGAACATACTTTCTTGCTGGAATCAGAACTTGGCTCATAACTCAAAAGCTGGCAGATGGCAGGGTCTGAGAAACAGGAACAAGGAACCCATCATGTTTTTACTCTGTTAGTTCCCTGTGCTGGGCAGCCACTTACTGGAAATGATGGCAGAAGCAAAAGGGAAGAGAGCAACACACTGCCACCTTCTTTTTCGTTCTCCTTAGTCCTCAGCAGCTAAAGATAGAGTTGATAGAATGTGTGCCTGTCAAGAAGTGGTGAGTCACCCTGCACTGTGTTTCCACTGACCTGAAATACATATGCACATAGGAACTACAAAATATGAATTGTGTATAATTTGGTGATTCCTAATGCTTTTATATTTGCATTTAAAACTGGTATTGTACAATATAAGTGAACAGCAAAATTCATAATTAAAATTTTAATTTTTGTTTACTTTAAATGACATTAAATAATAAAAATGCCATGATGAGTCATGAGAAAGCCCATGGTAGGGGATAAATAGGTTTTATATTTTAATACCCTTAACAATATGTTTTTCTTCCTTTTTGAACAAAGGGCCCCACATTTCCATTTTACACTAGTTCTGAAGATTATGTAGCTAATACTGCCTATGTGTATTTCTCTAAATACTTGCTTCTTTAGAGCAGACTTTTTATTGGTACTACTTTTGTCACCTAAAGTAAACAGACTGCACAGATACAACTTATTACCTCTACACAAGACACAGTAGCTCAGTAATACAAAAATGAAGAGAATAACCTCAAGGAGCTCACTGCCTAAAATAAGATAAGAAATCCAGTTACTAAGTGATTTTTACTGTAGTCCGTATGAAAATATCAAGTTACTAATCGTTGTAACAGCAATGCGGTATTTCCTAATTGATCAGAACACGTCTATGAAGGACTGTCCTCTCCGATTTGTAGGGGAAATGACTTCAGACGAGTTCCGCTAATAATCGGATAACTGGAGATTCCAGTAGAAAGCCTGCCCGACTCCATAGCAGAAGCTGGGAAGCACTGCGCTGCAAGCGTAGGCCAGAACCGTCTTTGGGGCGCATACACTGGGACCAAGCGGCTGCTGGCAACACTACACCCTCTGGGCGCGCGCTTCTACTGTACACATGTATAAGGGTCACACGCAAGTTTGTCTTGGATTCAGGACACACAGTAAACCCAGAAATGACGTCGCTCTTGCTCTCGCTCACGCAGTGGTCTGCAGCGTGGTCGCGCGGCAGGAATCCCGCGGCAGAGCAGAGTCGCTCGAGTCCCGCCCGCGGCGTGCGGACGCCAGCGGGTCCCCGGGCCTCTCGCTCGTTCCCGGGCCGAGACCGGACGCACGGCGGACCTCAGCTTGCCCGCCGGGCAGGTGTGTCCACGGCGACGGCGCTCGGCTGGAGCGCGGGGATCGCGGCGGGGGAGGCAGGCTCCCGGGAGCGCGAGGTTGCGGCGCCCCATCCCCGTCTTCACCCAGACGGCCCCCGCCCCTCGCGTCCCGACCGCCGGTCCCCTCCACGTGCCGGCCGACGGCTCTGCGCCCCCGGCGCCCCGGGAGGCCTCGTCTCCGCCGGAAGCGGCGCAGGCCGGGCGCGATTGGTGGGCGCACCTCTGCCGGCGGCCGGACCCGGCCCGGGTAACACTCGAGTTCCGAGACCGCGCCGCCGCGGCCCGGGAAGCACCTCCCGGCTTGGCCCGGGCGGCGTGTGCGCGGACCTCCCCGGGAGTCCGGCCCCTGCGGCGCGCGGGCGGACAGCCAGACCTTCCGAGTGCGGGCCGCTGCGCTCGCTCGTCGGCGCGGGGACGGGGTGCAGGGCTGGCGCAGTCGCCGTACCGTCTCGTTCTTCGGAAGGCGGGACCTGCTGCGAGTCGTGTCCTTCCCTCGGAATGATTCCTAAAACCGGCTTTCTGCCAGCCCTCTGCAGAAGCCCGTCCCCTGATCTTTAGGGCCGGGGAAGTGAAGGTGTGTTTGAAGGATGCCGAGTGGGTCGCAGGTGCGAGGCGCAGAGAAGACACGAGCGGGGCCTCCGTGCGTGGTCCCGGGTTCTGTGCGGGGAAACCGAGGCAGGGCTCCGAACCCAGCGCCGAGATGACGGGGTCACGGCGAGAACTGCAGCTTGTACGGAGGCCTTGCGGGGTTGGGGGGGCGGCGGCCTGGATCTAATGCTGTCCGTAGTCACTCTCAGAGCAACGAGCAACGCTACACGGAGGGTTTAGTCAACCAGTTACTCCTGGTCTTGCTACTACGCTGCGGTTCTGTAAGACGTTAATGCTCGCGGAACCTGGGTGAACCGTATAGGGAGTTCTCTGAGGCGTTTGGGGAAGTTTCCTTTAATTCAAAACTATTTCAAAATAATGCATTTTTTAAAAGGTAAGATTTTTACAGAGGGGGGAAAATAGAGGTTTAGAGAGATTAAGCCACGACACGTAAGAGAACATAACAAGATTCAGGCGCAGGTCTTCCAGAATCCACAGCCCTTGTCCTTCACCACAGCCCACCGTGCTGACGAAGCGGTGGTGCACGTTTAAACAGGCCCTGCTTAAGTCTGCTATTACATGGAAGACTGAAACCATCTACACCCACACAGCCTACTATCTCCCTAGGTTAAGGTGACTTAGCTGTTCATTTGTCTACACTAGGTATGACATTATTCCACTATCTTTATCAACATGACATTACTATTCTAGGAAATTCTTGCCCCAGAAGATCAAGTTGCAAATAATCATATCTGTTTCGAGAAATTACCCCTGAAAAAATCCACTTGAATATCAGACTCCCAAATTTAAATGGATAGGATCCAGAAACTCTCAGCTGAAAACCTTCACCTTGTGTCCATCAGTTCTAAACTATTGTGTCATGATCCTTCCCCAATCCTTATTCTGCTTTGAAAGATCTGCCTTAAACCCCCAAGACCTCATAAATATCCTGACTCTGCCTTCCTCCCTGGGAGATACTACTTAGACTCTGTCAAAGTAGTGCTAGCATTCATAAGAATAAATTCACCTTAGCCTAATAAGTGGATTGTTTTGGTATTATTTTTGGAAAGCAGGGGTCCAACAATATTCTCCGTGTTGTGAAAAATGCTCTTTCTTGACAAACATTCCTTCTACTTAGAAAAAGTCTTGAATGACCTTAAGCACATTTTTTAAATTTTCTTTAAATTTGGGTGAAGCTTTCTTGCTCTTCTGAAACACAAGCATTAGACTTAGTGAGTTCAAGTATTTAATCAGCCTGTGTGTATGTGTGTGTGTTTCTGTCTTTAACTGTGGTTTCTATAACCTTAGGAGTGTGCCCTGAAAGATAACACTTGTTCTCATCCTCTCTGACCATTGGAGCTGGAATGGCTGCAGCGTTCCTTCCACGGGCTCCTGAAGAGCCAGAGGGGCTCTTCAAAGTAAACAAAAAAGAAGGTCTTGCCAAGGTTCAGGGATCTGGCCCACAGGGCAGCAGCCCAAAGAGCCAGGAGTTATTCCGCCAGCGCTTCCGACAGTTCTGCTATAAGGAGACTCCTGGACCCCGTGAGGCCTTGAGCCAACTCTGGGTATTCTGCTGTGAGTGGTTAAGGCCTGAGATACACAGCAAGGAGCAGATGTTGGACCTGCTGGTGCTGGAGCAGTTCCTCACCATCTTGCCTGAGGAGCTCCAGGCCTGGGTCCAAGAGCATCACCCAGAGAGTGGGGAGGAGGCCGTGGCTATGCTGGAAGATTTGGAGAAGGAATTGGATGAACCAGGCCAACAGGTAGAAAGGGACCTGTGCTCAATTGGGGGATGGTTGGGAGTGGGCATCCCGGCCGATCCTTTATGGGCTCTCGGGATCATGTACACTGTGGGCCCTTCAGATGCACAGATGAGCCTGCTTGTTCTCAGGTTTCAACCCAGACCTGTGCACAGGAGCTGCTTTCTGGGACATCGGCACCTCTGGATCCAGCTAAGGAAGCAACGTATCTCCAGCCTCAACCCATGGAGATCCAGGACACTCAACACCAACAGGATTGTGGTTAGTGTTGACACTTGGGTCATATGGCTCCCCTGGAGACCTTAGAATCATTCATCATTGTCACATAAATATTGAGTACTTACTCTGTGCCAGGCACCATGGAAGGCACCAGGTATGGTGAGCAAGGCAGACATGATCCTTGCTTTCATGGATTACAAAATAAATGTAACATAACAGATTGTATATGGGGAAGAAGAAGGCAGTCAGAGAAGGCCTTTTTTGAGGAAGTAACATGAGAGCTAAATCCCAAAAGTAGAATAGAAATTAGCCAGGTGATCGGAGAGGGGAAAGCAACATAGGCCTAAGAGCATGTGCAAAACAGATGGGAAAGAGGTGCGTTGTCAGAAATTATGTTTCTATGCTATGATATTTTTTAATAATAATCCAAAAGTTTTTTCTCATGCTGATAGGAATTTTAGTCCTGTTATATGTGCAGTGATGTTTTGGGCCCCATCCTACTGTTCATTTTATATTTGCTAATGTCTCTGAAAGATGATGTTCTTTCATTCTTTTTTTGAAGACTGTATTTATTTAGGGAGAGTACACTCGAGCACATGAGCAGGAGGAAGGGCAGAGAGAGAGGGAGAAAGAGAATCCCAAGCAGACTCAGCACTGAGGGGGGCCTAACACAGGCATCAGCCTCACAACCCCAAGATCATGACCTGAGCCTTGCATGGGTTGAGGCTGGGAGTCTGGGAATCTGTCAAGCCTGAAGCTACACTCTGGACCATTGAGAGTTCCTGGGCAAATGGTCACGAACACAAAGGAGGGCTTCTAACAGACCCAGACTCCCGTCCGTCCTGACCCAAGGAAAGCACGTTGCCATAATTCCCCTGCCTGTCTCCTACAGAGGTGCCCCTGAGGAGGGTCCCAATACACCCCTCCTCCAGGGTGGGCAATGTGGTCACTTCCTCAATGGTCAACAGTTTCTGAAAAAAGGTGAGATTGTCCCACTCAAGGCATATTCTCCCTGAAGTAATCCTGTGTTAGGACCCAGAGTGAAGGGCAGAATTTGCAACCATGTAGGAGTAATGCAGGGAAAAGTGATATGCTTTTAAATCGGTGGGTGGGGGGAGGCCTGGCAATGGGAGGAAAGACAGGTATAGAGACAGCTGAAGACGAAGGAGGCAGTTCACATCAGCTCTCAGAGAGCTCACTTGTGCTGCTCGGCCACGGCTCCTTTCCCCTCTCCTCCCACAGTACCCTTAACCGACCCATTTTGGCAGTTGCGCTGTGCCTCTGCCTAGGGCTGGATCTGATGCAAACTGCCTCCCGGATCTTAGCCATCTCCATGCTTGTCTGTCCTCCCACAGCCAGCCACCCCCCGGCCCCCACTTAAAAGCCTAGGGTTAGAGTGTAGCTTCAGGTTTGACAGATTCCTAGATTCTCCTTTGCTAGACGAGTAGAAATGTCTTCGGGGCAAAATCGGTTTCTGTTTGTCCCTACGTGATAACATCCTTTTGTGCCCCATGTTTTTAGACTCTGATCTCCCTGTTCTGCATATCTGCAAATAGGGTACTTTGCTGTGCTCCGACCCCTTGTTTTTCAGTTCTCCGTGAGGCCTCAGAGCACCTACACAGAGCTGCTTCACGGCTCCACATCAGCACTGGGCCCCATGGCTTCCTTTCTGCTCCTCCCACAGTCCTGTTCCTTCATCTCTCTCTGCCCTGCTCTACCCTTCCCTCGGAACCTACTCTAATCCCAGATCTTTTCTTCTGCTGTTGACTTACTCCTCCCAGACTTGTCTCCACTCTGCTCAAATAGTGCCCTACCAGTCCAGACACTGCTAGTCCTCTCTTCCTTTGTAATCTCCCACTTTCTTCCTCAAATGTTGTCAAACTGTTTTGCTGGGAGAGTTAAGCTGTGTGCTTAACTAGTATATGTGTTTAATTTTATTTCCTTTATATTTCACATGTAACTTGAAATCTATCGTTTTTGTTTCAGATGATGTGATCAGAATTGAGAAAGAAGAACTGATTCAAAAGCAGAAGTTTACTATAGATATGGAGTCTCCCAAAAAGTCCTCTGGCCAAATGAATGGAAAGGCCCCTGAATGTGGAGAAACCCAAGAACATGAAGGAGGGACAAAAAGATATCAGAGAAACACTTCAGCTGAGAGAAGATATAAGTGTGATGAATGTGGGAGAAGATTCACTCAAAACTCAAGCCTCATTAGACATAAAAGAATCCACACTGGAGAAAGACCCTATTCATGTAACGTGTGTGGCAAAAGTTTCATCCAGAGCTCACAGCTTATTGACCATCAGAGACTACATAATCGGTTAAAACCATATCAGTGTGATGAGTGTGGAAAAGCCTTTTATTACAGTTCACACCTTGTTCAGCATCAGAGGACCCATACTGGAGAAAAACCTTTCCAATGCAGTGAGTGTGGGAAAGCTTTTCACTACAGCTCAGGCCTTGTCCGACACCAAAGGACCCACACAGGAGAGAAGCCATACCAGTGTGGCTACTGTGGGAAGGCTTTCTGTCTGAGCTCACATCTGATTCAGCATCAGAGAGTCCATACCGGAGAGAAGCCGTACCAGTGCAGTGAGTGTGGGAAAAGCTTCAGCCAAAGCTCAGGCCTCTTCCATCACCAGAGAATCCACAGTGGGGAGAAACCCTACGAGTGTGACGAGTGTGGGAAGGCCTTCAGTCACAGCTCGGCTCTGGTGGGACACCTGCGCATCCACAGCGGAGAGAGGCCTTATGAGTGCGATGTGTGCGGGAAAGCTTTTAGTTACAGCTCACATCTTCTGGGACACCGACGAATCCACACTGGAGAGAAGCCCTTTGAGTGTGACGTTTGCAGGAAAGCTTTCCGGCGCAGCTCACACCTCATTGTACATCAGCGAGTCCACGCTGGAGAGAAGCCCTGGTGATTGTTGGTACCGACCAACAATTCCGCAGAAGGCCAGAAAGGCACAGCCAGCAGAGGACGCCACCGTGACAGTGGCGTGGGGAATTCTGTGATCACCACTGCACTTTGCACGGTCATTAGAAAAGACTTCTGGAGGCTGAGATAGGTTATCACCTGACAGCTTATCAAACAAGAACATCCTTCCACATCTCAAACGTCCTTCTCTGAAGCAGCGGCTCGGGAAGCCTCAGTGATCCACGAGATATGTATTCCGTGGTCGTAGAGACAGCTGTGTTCCTCTCCCTTCCCTTCTTCCCCCTATTTTCTTGGGAGTTAGAGTAATGATCTTGAGTGAAGTGTGAATTTAGAGTTAACATCTCATCTGCATTTTAAAAATCCTGAATTTTAGGTCAGCTTGATAAAAAGACAGCAACCTATCAATTATCTACACTGAAAACATTGTGGACACAAAACCCACTCTGTAATCTGGGATGAACGACTCGTGTAGGTGGGAAAGTTCAGTGGGACAAGAGGATGGATGACGCACGTTCCAGTGTGACCTTTCACGTCTTCCACCAGAGGTGCCAAACAGGCCAGTGGGATTTGGGAAAAATAATGTGTCTTTTTCCCACATGGTATTTTTTTTCAATAATATATAAAATTATTTCAATTTTTTAAAGCTTTTTTTTTTAAGGTGTATTTATTTAGAGAGGGAGAGAGAATTCCAAGCAGACTCTGCACTGAGCACAGAGCCCAGTGCAGGGCTTGACTTCATGACCCTGAGATCATGACTTGAGCCGAAATCAAGAATCAGACACCCAACTGACTGTACCACCCGGGTGCCCCAATTATCTCACCTTTTTGAAAATCTGGCAATTTAACATAAAATCTGACTTTCTGGATTCTCTTACAAAAATGCATGATGTGGCAACACTAGAGGGCATATTCCCACAAGGCAAGAATTGACTGGGACAGATTATCACTACTGTGTGTTTAGACCCCCGTCCACCGCCACACAGCTTCCTGCAGTCTCCCACCTCTCCTTCCCCCTACCTGTGTGAGCCCTCCCCTGCCCTAAGGGCTTCTCAGGAGTTTGTGGGTTCCAGGCCAACTTGCCACCAAGAGTTCCACCTTAATTTTACACACCAGCCCCCAATAAGATTTTCTGTGAAGAAAAGGCTTTCTAACAACAGCTTGAAGATTTAGATTAAAAAAATAGAAGTGTGCACTTGTGCACCCAAAGGTAGAGGAAAGCCACTTTAAATTTTTCCTTAGACAGAATGTATAGTTAATTATTGAAAGTCAGCTGTAATAGCTTCAAGCCAAACCAGTGGAGACTAGTTCTTTGGGTGAGATGAAGACACAACACCCGTGACAGGGTTGGACGCTGGCGTCAGAGTGAGAAGGCCTGAGGCGGAAAGCGGGGATGCAGCTCAGAGAGAGAAGCTTTGAGATTTGAAGCATTTGGTGACAGGAGCAGCTGTGGGAAGGCTGTAGGATGAGGCCCAAATGGGAGACTGGGGAAAGGTGAGAAGAAAAGGCTACAAATACAAGAGGGTCTGGGATAAATGGAGGGAAGGAAAAAGGCCAGAGATGCCAGGAAACCAAATTACGAACAGGAAGCCAAAGCAAAGGTAGTGAAAACATTAAGTGAGAAAGCATGATTTAAAGAAATGTGAGGTGGAGCAACGCCTGGGTGGCCCAATGAGTTAAGCCCAGGTCAGGATCAGGGGTCCTGGGATTAGGCCCCACATTGGGCTCTCTGCTCAGTAGGGAATCTGCTTCTCCCTCTCCCTCTGTGCTCTCTCTCTTGCTCTTGTTTTCTCTCATAAAGCAAATAAAATATTTAAAGGAAGAAAGGGAGGAAGGAAAAAAAAAAGGAAGAAGGGAGCAGGAGGTTGAAAGGCTGGAGGTAGGAACACTGAGTATTAACCAAACCTCTTTTCTATGCCATGTGGGCCAGATGCCTAACATGAAAGACCCTCACCCAAATCTGAGTTCACTGCTGTTTCTTTGTATCACTCAGGACCCTGCCCCTGCATGGGTCTCTGAGTGTTGGGACACAGGACACCTCTCTTTAGGTATAGAACATATATATATTCAATCCTGCTCAGTCTGGACTCTGGCCTTCTTAACAAAACCAGCCAACCAGGAGGATTCTCTCCCAGGAGCAAGAATACATTTCTGGTGGGACCCCTGGGTGGCGCAGTCGGTCGAGTTTCCGACTTGATTTTGGCTCAGGTTGTGGTATCAACCATAATACCATGAAATATCAGGCCGGTATCATTTCAAGTCATGAAGTGGAGCCAGGCCTCGAGTCAGGTGCTGAGCGTGGAGTCAGCTTAACATTTGCTCCCTCTGCCTCCAACCCCAACCCCCTGGCTGGCCCATGTGCGCACTCTCTCTCTCCCCTTCTCTAAATTTTTTTTTTTTTTAAGAATTCATGCTTGAGGTGCCTGGGTGGCTCAGTGGATTAAGCCTCTGCCTTCGGCTCAGGTCATGATCTCAGGGTCCTGGGATCGAGCCCCACATCGGGCTCTCTGCTCAGCAGGGAACCTGCTTCCCCCTCTCCCACTCTGCCTACTTGTGATCTCTATGTGTGTGTGTGTCAAATAAATAAATAAAATCTTTTAAAAATAATTAATTAATTAATTTAAATAAGTAAATAAGAGTTCATGCTTGGCCTCTTTGGGAAGCATGTGATTTACTCATTCCTCCTAAAGAGGAAAGTGTGTTGTGAGATAGAAATACCCATTATAAATTAATTAAATGATGTAGCTAAAGGGAAGTCCTTTGCACACTCTGACAATCGTGGCTGCCATTTGTTAAACACCAGTTGTGTCCAGCATCAAGCATGTTGCATCTCATGTAAACGTTCCAACTCATTTGTAGGATACTATTTATTATCTCAAACAATGTGTTGATGTCACTTATTCTTATGAAAGGCTTATAACAAAATGAAAAGTTTTTAATACATTTAAATTTAAACAGCCTATAAAAGTATTTTTAGAATATAATAACTATGTAAAACAGATTTAAAATACTGAAAGTTGGAAGTAATAAAATGTCAACAGTGTATTTAGGTAATGAAAAGGGAGTGATTCTCACCTTTTCTTTCTATTTACCTGTATATTCCAATGGAAAAGTTAGAATTCATCATATACATGAATAAATACTTTTTAAAAAATTAAAATACTGCAGAATTACTTGAACCTTTCTGGAGATGATTCTTTGGTAGCCTTTTCAATTATTTCCTTTAGGACTGGTTTATTTTATGTTTTTCTGCCTTTTTAAAAAATATTTTATTTTTAAGTAGTCTCTACACCCAACGTGGGGCTTGAACTCACAGCCCCAAGATCGAGAACTGGACTCTCCACCAACTGAGCCAGCCAGGTGCCCCATAGATTTTGTTACTTCTTGAATGAATTTTGGAATTAAAGTTTCTTTCCCCGACCAATTTCATTGAGATTTTTTAAAATTTTTGTAGCAGACGTCTTTATCTGCTATTTGTCATTTACCATTTTTAAATTTTTTTTCAATTGAATTTACCGTAGGTTTGTGGGGTTTTTTATGTTTCCTTTTTTTGTTTTTTAGCTTGAATACCATTCTTTTTTATAAAAGAGAGACATGAAAATTATTTACATGATGAAAGATTTCACTTCACTGGAATGGGCAGCTTCACTTCATGCCATTTTATCAATGATTCCAGTCCATATACTTTCCGATGTCACAATCTCAAAATAAGAAATAATCCTTGTCATCTAGAACTGCTTTGGTGCCTCCATATTCTGGGAGAAGAATTTTATCTCCAACTTTCACACTAACTGGTTGAATCTCTCTACCCTTTCCTTTAGAGCCCAATCCAATAGCTACTACTGTTGCTTGCAACACTTTTGCTTGAGATTTTTCTGGAAGCATAATACCTCCTTTGGTGCAGTTTCAGCTGCACTCCTTTCAACTAAAATTCCATCAAAGAGGGGAAGAAACTAAATGCTTGCCTTGCCATGACTCCGGCTACCATCACGGTTCTTACAGGTTTGTGGTTTTTAATAGGCTTGCTTAATAGGCTTGTTTTTAACAGGCTTGTTTATAAATGTTTCATTCTTGGATCTCTTAATGTCACATTTTCTGTGTTCTAATTCATTTGCTTGTTCTTTTATCCCTATTTCTTTTCTAACCTTTTCTAACCTTTCCCTTGGGGATTTCCTTCTCATCCTTTTTCTAATTTCTTGAGTGCTTAGTTCATTCATTTTTCTCTTTTTAAATTTTATTTTTTAAGATTTTACTTATTTATTAGAGCACAAGCAGAGGGAAAGGCAGAGGGAGAGAGAAAGGGAGAAGCAGACCCCTGCTGAGCAGGGAGCCTGACATGGGGCTTGATCCCAGGACTCTGGGATCATGACCTGGGCCAAAGGCAGATGCTTAACCAACCAAGCCACCCAGGCACCCCTCTTTTTTTTTTTTTTTTTTTTAATAATTAAAGCAAGTGAGAATATACATCCATCGAACGCTGTTACAATGTTATTTGTGGGGTGGTTTTTTGTTTTTGGTAGCTTTGGAAGATCTAAACAGAGAAGAAGAGGGCCCTGGGTGTCATACGCCAGGCTGCCTGCTTATGCCTCAATCGTGAAGGCAGAGAGGCTCTATCCAGGTAGAGGAAGGACGTCACCAAGTCAAGGACAAGAGGCAGGGTTTTACCAGGAAGCCTCATTCTGACTGATGCGCAGCCACTCAGATTTCCACAGCCAGGTGTTCCAAGGCTCTGGCATGCTGTCTGTCTGAAGCTGACGGCTGCCTGAAGCTTGGGGCATCCCTGAAGAATATTCTGGATTCCTTAAGAAGTTCAGGACCTGGAGCAGGGTTTGTGTTTGGAAACTGGTGAGAGACTTTGATACAAGACATTAGGTAAGAAGGGAGAAACATGCCGGTGAGTTCACTGCACTGAAGTTGAGCGTTGTCTGCGTTTTTCACTTGCTCAGCCAGCGATGACGACATGTTATGCCACAGTCAAGGGAAGGGGCTGACTTTCCATCATGTATTTCTAATGGAAAGAAGGCAGAAGTTAGGCTGTTTTTAAATTTCTCTCCCAGAGAGGACAGTTCTGTAAAGCTGGTTTACTTGGAAGTTATTTCTGCATTTCCTAAATGATACTTCCAGGTTTATTTTTTAATTTTTTTAGGTTTATTTATTTATTTTAAAGAACACACGAGCTGGGGAAGGGGCAGAGGAGAGAGAGAGAGAGAGAGAAGCTGTCTCCCCGCTGAGCCAGAGCCTGCCGAGGGGCTCAGTCTCGGGACCCTGAGATCATGACCTGAGCCAAAATCAAGAGTTGGATGCTTAACCGACTGAGCCACCCAGGCACGCAAGTTTATTTGATCACTTATATTTGCCCTACGAAGCATAGTGAAGTTGAATCTGATTTTCAACTGAAAGTAGTTATATCCTTTTACAAGATGACATGTCAGGCGAAGAATTTCAGAGAGAAAGGGATATTGATGGCATTTCCCAAACAGGGAAATTGTTTGTGGGTTGTGAAGAATAAATGAGGTTTTAACACAAGTGTCTTTCCTGTTTATACCAGTAACAAATTTTTGTAAAAAGTTAAATTTTAGAGAGGCACCTTGCTGGTTCAGTCCGTACAGCATGTGACTCTTGATCTCGGGGTTGTAAATTTGAGCCCCACATTGGATGCAGAAAGATTACTTAAAATCTTAAAAAAAAAAAAGTTTACTTTCACAAAAATATATAAAATGAAGTTCTCTGTAAGTTTACCCCAATTAAGAACACATTTAAGATAATTATTCTATAAAAACAATCATATACTGTTTTGTTTTGTTTTTAAAGATTTTATTTATTTATTTGGCAGAGAGAGAGAGAGCACAAGTAGGCAGAAAGGCAGGCAGAGGGAGAGGGAGAAGTGAGCCTGATGCGGTACTCGATTCCAGGACCCTGGGATCATGACCTGACCTGAGCCAAAGTCAGATGCTTAATGACTGAGCCACCCAGGCACCCCAACATAACTTACTTCTTAAATTCAATGTGCCTTTGGCATCTTTTAGTTTTTAAAAAGGTTATGGATATAAAAAAATCTAAGTTCCCAAATGTGGATATTTGGGTTTCCCCAATTTAAATAAACAATGTTTCTTTGTATATGTTTTAACATGTGTGTTTTATTTTAAAGATTTATTTACTTATTTTAGAGCTTGAGAGCTGGAGGAGAGGGAGAAAGACAGAGAATCTCAAACAGACTCCCTGCTGAGTGTGAAGCCCCAAGTGGGGCTTGATCTCACGACCATGAGATCATGACCTGAGTGGAAACCAAGAGTTGGTGGCTCAAACGACTGAGCCACACAGGCACCCCTTGTGTAAGTATTTCTGTGTAAATAATTCCAAGAAGCTACATTGTTGGATCAAGAGGTATGGACATACTAATTTTAAGGTCTTGCCTTCAGAAAATATACAACCCAAGAATGCCTGTACTTTCTCACACTTTCCAATACTAAATATGATCAGTCTTTTTATCTTTAGTAATCTGAACAATTTTTTTAATTGTTATTGTTTTAATTAAAATTATTACTGAACTTGAGCACCTTTTCATGTTGTCTATTTGTTCTATAAATGCTTACCTAAGTTGTTTGCCAATTTTTCTATTGGGTTGGTAGTACTTTTCTTATTTTTTGTAAGAGGCCTTTGTGTATTAGGAAAATCAGTCCTGTGACTTTTAGATGGTGACATATTTTACTCTGAGCTTATACTTTAGTTTTTATTTTCTTCATTTAATATTCCAAATTTTTACATCATCAGTTCCATTTATCTTTTCCTTTGTGGGTTTTCAGTTATATGTCTTTAGGGTTTTATGTCATGCTTATATCCCTCCCCACTCCAAGGTAGCAGTAGCTTCCCATCCTATCTCCCTGCTTCTGTCTTTGTCCAACCCCCTTCACTTACAAGTTTATTTTTAACACAGCAGCCAGAAAACTCTTTCAATACCTATATCTGAACATGTTACTCTCCTGTTCAGAAATTCTGAATGACTTCCCATCTTGGAGTAAAAAAAAAATATATGTATCCTTGAATTCACCCGAAACCCTCATATCGTTCCCTCTCTCTACTCCCAATACCCTTTTGTTGCCTTAGTTCTAGACACACAAGCCCCCTTCTGGTGCCTAGACTATTTCAAACACACTCCACTCCAGGCTGTGCGTTTGCTATCCCTCTTCCTGAAACAGATTTACCCCTGATGATACACTCACTCATCTCCCTCAGTCCTTTCTTTAATATAAGTATACTAGTGAGGTCCTCCATGACCACCCTATTTAAAATTGCATTACTTCATTCTCACTCCAAACTTCGTGTTTCCTTTATTTTCTCCTTGGCACTAACATGCACCATCTAATATACTATATATTTTTCTTGTTTATTGCCTGCCTGCCTACCTACCTCATACACAGAAGCACACACACTAAATTACAAATTCCCATTAAATCAAGGGTATTATTTTCCTTTAACCTGCAGTTCCAGCTTCCAGAACAGTGCCTGGTGTAGCAGGTGAATAATCAATATTTGTGTAAGAAAGGGAAAGAGGGAGAAAAAAATTAAGCATTTCAAACCCATCAGATTGGCAAACATCAAAATATCTATGACATTGTTGTAAGGGCCTGGTTGACCAGAGGGAGCCATTTTGTTGCGGTGAACTTGTATTGACCCTGCCCCTCCCAGAGGAATTTGCTTGCAAAGCCTAGATACAAGGGCGGGGCAGGCCGTATAAAGACATCCAATCAGTGGGGCGCGCGTATATCCACCAGGGTGAATTGAAATTCAATTGGCCACCTGCGTGTGGGAGGGGCTCAACCACCTCTATAAAGGTTGGTCTGCAAAGCTGTCGGGGGCAGAAGGAGAACTATCCGAGGCAGACGAAGGAGAGCTGTCAGCTGTCACAGCTCTTGTCAGAGCTATAAGAGCAGCCTCGCTGCCTGCAGCCTCGCCACCACGGAGCCGTGGCCCCGCTGCCGGAGCTGCAGTGCTTGGCAACGGTGCCATGGTGAACGTCTTAGCCCCCAGTAGCCTTGCTACCATAGGAATGGCCCTGCCCCGAGCCTCAGCCCTGCCCTGAGTGGCCTCGCTGCCCAGAACCACGGCCCGCCACGAGGGGCCTCACAGGAGAGGCGTCATTCTGGGGAGCGGCCTCATAGACAAGCAGCCTCCTCTGGAGCAGCCTCATCTAGAGTGGCCTAGTCTGGGTTGCAGCCTCGTCTGGAGCGGAGGCCTCTGGGGAGCAGCCTCGTCAGAGTGGTGTCATGGAGAGCAGAGTCTGTATCATCGGGGTTGTTGTCCTCCTTGTCATCGTCACTGTCGTCATTGCCTCTTTGTCGTCGGGAGTGGCCTCATTTCTGGGAGCAGCTTTCTCCAGAGTGGCCTCTTTTTGGGAGCAGCCTTGTCCGGGGAGCAGCCTCGCCGGAGCAGCCCCTATCTGGGGAGCGGCCCTGTGTGGGGAGCGACCTCCTCAGCAGTGGCCTTGTCCCGAGTGGCCTCTTCTTGGGATCGGGTCCGACCAGGGAGTGGCCTCATCTGGAGTGGCCTCATCTGTGGAGCAGCCTCATCCAGAGTGGCCACATCCTGAGCGGCCTTTAGGGAGTGACCTTGTCGGGGTCATCATCGTCCTCTCTTTGTAAGAGACGGCCCCTACCAGTCAGTTTGATTTTTGATGCTTGGTGTGAAATAAAGCTTTGTTTGATTTTCACTTTATATCAGTCTCGTTCCTTTGATCACGGACCCTAACAATTGTGTTGACAAGTATAGGTAAACAGAACATCTCTCTTAGGGTTTAGGATTGGTAATATAGCACTAACAAAAATACAAATGTCCCTACTCTGTACTCTAGTAATTCTATTTCTAGGAATATATACTATGTAAATACCCTTAGGCATGAGAAAGATTTATGTTTACAGTAACTTATTCCAGCAGCGTTTCAAAAAGAAGATTGGAAACAACCTTCCTGACCATCATCAGTGGGGTAACCATTAATGGATGATGGCCCACACAATAAATACTGTGCAATTGATTAAAAAGGGCAGATGGAGGAAACCCTTTATGCACAATCTCCAATATTAGTTACTAGGAGGAAGCAAGCAAGGCGCAGAAATGCTACCTTTTGTGCAGGAGGAAAGCGAGGGGGATATGTACCTGCCTGACCCGTTTACAGAACGGTAAGTGTCTGGGAAAAAGTCAAGCTGTCAAGAGCAGATGCTGGAGGACACTTACTCTTTTTAAATGTTGAACTGTGTGAATCCATTAATTTTTCATACTACGTATCTAATAAGTAAACCCAAAAAATTCGTGAGAGGGGAATAGTTTTGAAAACGAACAAAGAGGATGCGCCTGCCGGCCCCCCAACAACCCGCTTATAAACGTGGTCCTCCACGGGCGGGGCCACCGAGGCGAGGTATCCTAGAGCGGCCGGAAGTGCCCGGCCCCCGGCGGGGCGCCCATTGGTCGGCTGGAGTCCAGCCTTTGTTCCCGGCCGTCAAGGGGTGGCTGCGGCGGCGGGCGAATCAGTCTTGCGTCCGCCGCTTCTGCGGGGGTGGTCGAGGGTCGGCCCTCCGCGAGTGGACTGGGTGACCGTCCCCACAGCCGCCGAACGCCGGGCCTGCGCCTCTCGGGCGTGGAGTCCGCGAGCCTCCTCGCAAAGCTGTGAGGCATTTCTCCTCACAAAGCGGTGACCCTCGGGCTTCGTTGAGTGCTGACGGGCGCCGGCCGCTCCCCGACCCAGAGAGAACCGGGAGACCGACGGCCGGGGAGTCGCGTCGGCAGCGGGCACTTTCAGTCAGCGCAGAGCTGAGTTGGCCGTGGGCGCCCCCGTGCCCTTCATCAGCGTGTGCGTGTTCACGGCAGCTTTCGTACTTTCTCCGCCGCAACGGCGTTCTGTGACGCGGTTCCGAGAGGTTCTCCTTGGGGCCGCGCCGGACAGGGTTAATCTCACTCACAGCGCACGATGGCCGCAGCCCCGGCACCCCCCGGACGAGGGCTAGCAGTAGTGAAGGCCGAAGACCGTCGCGGCGGACAGGACTGCGTCTCACAGCACTGCACCCCTCACAGGAGGGAAGTCTTCCGGCAGCACTTCAGGAAGCTCTGCTACCGCGACGCACCCGGGCCCCGGGAAGCCCTCACCCAGCTCTGGGAGCTCTGCCGCCAGTGGCTGCGGCCCGAGTGCCACACCAAGGAGCAGATTTTAGACCTGCTGGTGCTGGAGCAGTTCCTGAGCATCCTTCCCGGGGACCTGCAGGCCTGGGTGCAGGCGCACCACCCAAGGACGGGCGAGGAGGCCGTGACCGTTCTGGAGGACCTGGAGCGGGAGCTGGACGAGCCTCGGAAGCAGGTGGGCAGGGGACGCTCAGGGCGCGCGCACCGGGCCCACGAAGCCGGTGACAGGACACCCGGGGGTACTTCACGGGTCGGCCTAGAGGAGAACAAGGTTTAGGGAGGGCGCCGGCTGCCGGGGCCAAGTAACTGGAGCGTGGTTGAGGACAGTCGCGGGAAACGCAGAGTCCGATGCAAGGCTGGGATCCATAAGGAGTTACAGGAGGGCGAGTAGGTAACAGAGGAAAGCAAAGAATTCTCCAGCATTCCTAGCTACTAAAAAATGGGCTACCTGGTGTAAAAAAAAAAAACTCCCTTTCCATGGGAATAGTCACGGCGAGTTCAAGTAGATGTCAAGGATACCGCAGAACAGCACTGTCCGAAAGAAATACAATGTGAGCCTTATGTGTAGTTAAATTTTCTAGTAGCCACATTTCAGAAAATGAGACTAAATATATTTTGCTATTTAACCCAACGTAATCATGTAATCAGTATGAAAAATGAGATATTTTACATTCCTTTTTAGCATTGTTTTTAAAATTTAGTGTATATTTTACGGTCTTCCTGTCTCCATTTCTACCAACCACATTTCAGGCGCCCAGTAAGCACACTGTGCTTGTGACCATCGTATGGGACAATGCAGTTAGAGAAGAAATACCCCCACTTGGTGGAGGTTGGGCTAGGTAATTTTTAAGGTTCTTTCCAAGTTTCAATACTGTGATCCTGGACCTCTGCCAATCATTGTGAGAAGACACTGAATTTCACTCTCCAGTGGCCTGAAGTGTCGAGATTAATTTTTGCCTCCTTTTTGAGTCATTATTGCCATTTGCAATTGAATGAGAATTTTTCCCATTTGTGTTCCTGGTCCCTGGCAAATGCTTCTTTTGAGCTTTTCTCTTAAGTTCTTTAAGTTCTTTCAGAAAATCTACCTTACAGAACCAGTCATACTTCATTGTTCCCCAGGTCCCAGCCAATTCAGAAAGACAAGACACACTTTTGGACAAGTTGACCCCCTTGGGAAGGCCCCATGACTCACTGACTGTGCAGCTCCATCCCAAGAAGATTGAGCGGGAGCAGGAATCTGGTGAGCCCCAGAGGAATGGTAAGGAGGAAGAGTTTATGTTTGTGAGGGTAGATAACGATTCCTTGTGTTAGAGAGGAGCTTTCTCACTTTGATGTTCTCCTTTTCAAGTTTTCTTGCTTATCTTCCACCTCACTGTAGAAGATTTTATTCCCCTTCCTACCCTTGCCTTATCATGGAAAGAATTATATTTTAGTTTTTCATTAGACTTAAAAGCTGCTTTTTGGCTCGGTGGATGGGGGTTGGGATTTAAATACTCATTGTAGCTAATGATACCTTACATTTCTATTTGTTGATATCTGATGCGTCTAGTTCTAAATTCTCTTAAATTTACATTTTTAAATTCATATGACATCCTGTATTAGTCTGTTAGGGCTGTCAGAACAGACTACCACAAGCCTGGTGACTTATACAACAAAAATTTATTTTCTCACAGTTGTGGAGGCTGGAAAGTCCAAGATCAAAGTATTAGTCGCCTTGGTTTCTGGTGAGGCTTCTCTCCTTGACTCACAGACTCGCTGTGTCTTCACAAGGCATTTTTGCTGTGCACACATACTCTTAGGATCTCTTCCTTTGTAAGGATGCCAGTCCTATCGGGTAAGGGCCCCACCCTTATAACCTCATTTATTCTTAATTACTTCTTAAAAACCCCTTTTCCAAATGCAATCACATTGAAGGTTAGAGCTACAACATAAATGGGCGAGGGGTGGGGAGATACAGGGCACAATTCAGTCCCTAATACTCGCTCACACTGAAAGAAGCAGGGAAGAGGGAGCAAGAACTAGTGAGTATAGTAGGCTTTTTGTTTCTCCATGTTATGTTGACTGGGTTTGGGTTGTGGTTTGCTTCCTCACCCCAGTAATCAGTTCACTAATTGAAAACCAGATGTCTAGTATATTCCCAGGCTTCAGTAAAAAGTAAAAAAACTTTAAATTCCAGTTTGCCCAAATGCTGCTTTTTTCAGTGCTCCCTGTCCTTTCTCTGCAGGCTCTTGTATCCACACTGCTTTGCCTGGCCTATTACGGAATCCATTCTCACTATTTTAAATTTTACCAGTAGGGTTCTCTCATTCTCTAGGTTCCCTGCCATGTGATTTGTCTAATCTGATAAATGATTTTAAGATTTTAAGATTTGTAGTTCATACTTGGAAAGATGGCATTCAATTATGTATAATTTAAAGGAGTCTTTTCATGCTTTAAAGCATAGTGTTGGTTACTGGTTACCTTTTGAGGTGAGGTTGAGACCCCCTGTTCTGTTCATTCTTCTTTTATTAAACATTTGTTGAGCAGCAGCTACACGCTAGGCACTGTGTTAGATGTCAGGAATACAAAGGAATGACTTCTTCAAAAAACAAAAGTGAGCAGTTGTGCTATGACCCCACACAAACACAAAAAAAGACAGCTATCCCTGTGGCAGGCCCACAAAGTGTCACAGAGTAGGTTTGCTTGAGCTGAGATGGTCAGACGGGTGGGAACTAGGAAGGGAGAACATCCCGGGGGATAGGTGGGGGTGAAAGCTTAACACTAAGAACAGTAGTTGCTCTGAGTTGATTTTGATGAAGAGAATTTTGTGGAAGGGAAAAATCAAATGCCACTGGTGAAGGTTCCTGAAACAGACAGAGGTCTGTTACATTATTTTATTTATTTATTTACTTATTTTTTAGTTAGTTGTTTTTTTGGTTTGGTTTGGTTTGGTTTTTTACACAGAGAGAGAACGAGAGAGGGAACACAAGCAGGGGGAGTGGGAGATGGAGAAGCAGGCTTCCCGCAGAGCAGGGAGCCCGATGTGGGGCTTGATCCCAGGACCCTGGGATCATGACCTGAGCCGAAGGCAGGCGCTTAATGACTGAGCCCTCTAGGCACCCCATAAAGTGGGAGTATCTTAATGTGTGAAAACCTAGAGTGGATTCAGTTTTTATACATGTGAATTTGCTGTATCTCAAGCATCCATCCAGTGGGCAGTGCAGTTTAAAATATGGTTCTAGGGGCGTCTGCCTTCAGCTCGGGTCACGATCCCAGGGTCCTGGGATTGAGTCCCACACATCAGGCACCCTGCTCTGCCAGAAGCCTTCTTCTCCCTCGCCCACTCCCCCTGCTTATGTTCCCTCTTGCTGTCTCTCTCTCTGTCAAATAAATAAATAAAATCTTTAAAAAAAATAAAATAAGGTTCTAGATGTAGGAGAAAGATGTGGGAGGAGATAAGAGATTTGGGAATTGTCCCTAGGTAGGTGATAGAAGACATGGCTGCAGATGAAGTTGACCAAGAATGTATTAAGTGAAGAGAGGTACGTGCACATTTTGAAGGCATGCCACCATTTGAAGTTTGAGTGGAGGAAGAAGATTCTATAAAAAAGATCAGGGACTGTCAGAGACGTGAGAAGCAGAAGAGGGTGGTGTCACTGAAGACACCAGGAGCCGCAGCCAGCTATAGCCAGTGCTACCAGTGGCACACAGGATCAGAACTGAGAAGCGTCCACTTACTGATTTTGGCATTTAGTTAGTGGTAGTCAAGAATAGTTTAAGAAGGTAGAAGCTAAAAGACACAGGCTATTTGAATAAAGATGCAGGCTATTTGAATAAGCTTTAGTAACCTTGACTATGTGGGGTCTTCACCTTTTTTTTGTGAGCAGGCATATCATAAGAAATTTCTCTTCCTGCCTTTGGAAGGAGACAAGACATGCAGTCAGTTATAAAACAGGTCACAATAATATTTTAACATGTCAACATGCTAAATTCTATGGAGAATACAGGATTATGACTAATGGATAGTCTATGCAAAACTTTTAAGGTCTAGATGGTCTTTCCCTTTTTTTAATAGATATTTCTAGACTAGTTCCACTCTATTTTGTGTTACAAGTTCAGAAAAATACACAGTTCTTATACCTAAAATTGTAGAGGTTTACACATGTGAGGCTATTAAAGTAACTTTTCAAGGAAAAATAGGAATGGTCTTTTCTTAATCTAATCTACTGAAGGGTGCTTCATGAAATGTAGCTATCCTGTGAGGCCTGAGAATTTTTAGGGGAATCCCTTCTGTCTACACTTAACAGTGTGAATAGGACTTTTTCCTAAGGTGCAAGCACCAAGGGCCGTACACAGTTTTTACCTGTGTCACCACCACCACCACCATCATACCCCCCCCCAAAATAACAGACAAGCAAAAAACAAAACCCACCAAAACAATACAAAAACAAACTCTGCAGAAATCACAACACATTTCAGGACGTGTCTCTCAACTTTATTAAAAGCATGTGATGTCCAGTCCAAATCCTTATTTTACAGTTGATGAAATATACCCACGGTGCTTGTGACTTGTCTAGGTTTCCAAAGAGTAAGAGGCAGAGCTGAGAGTACAGTCAGAACCTGAGGTTCCTGCCTACTGGTCCAGAACAATTATTAAAAGCCATCAGGATAATGTACCAAAAAGTCACTGTTTTTCAAAATATACATTTATTGTTAAATAGACTTTTATTTTTTGTTTCAAAAAAACTCATTGTGGGGCTCCTGAGTGACTCAGTTGGTTAAGCATCTCACTCGGGCTCAGGTCATGATCCCAGGGTCCTGGGATCAAGCCCCAGATCAGGCTCCCTGGTCAGCGGGGAGCCTGGTTCTCCCTTTCCCTCTGCTGCCCCTCTTGCTTGTGCTTTCTTGCTCTGTCAAATAAATAAATAAAATCTTTTTTAAAAAAGCTATTGTATCAGGCGCCTGGGTGGCTCAGTGGGTTAAGCCGCTGCCTTCAACTCGGGTCATGATCTCAGGGTCCTGGGATGGAGTCCCGCCTCGGGCTCTCTGCTCAGCGGGGAGCCTGCTTCCCTCTCTCTCTCTATGCCTGCCTTTCTGCCTACTTGTGATCTCTGTCTGTCAAATACATAAATAAATAAATAAATCTTTAAAAAAAAAAAAAAGGCGGGGCGCCTGGGTGGCTCAGTGGGTTAGTGGGTTAAGCCGCTGCCTTCCGCTCGGGTCATGATCTCAGGGTCCTGGGATCGAGTCCCGCGTCGGGCTCTCTGCTCAGCAGGGAGCCTGCTCCCTCCTCTCTCTCCACCTGCCTCTCTGTCTACTTGTGATCTCTCTCTGCCAAATAAATAAATAAAATCTTTAAAAAAAAAAAAAAAAAGCTATTGTATCCATACCAGCAAGGTATTATTATTTGTATTAGTTTTTGGCTAGGATAATAGGACTCTTCTCCATAAACATAACTGGAAATTGCAATAGCAATAATCACATAATAGAAAATTATAGTTGTAAATGACAAAAGAACTCGGAGAGCTGAATATCTGGCAGTTCTTTGTAGCACATTTTAAAGTATTTCAAAGGGAACTAACTAACCCACAACACTGTCTCTCCATTAGCAAATAAATGACAGTCTCCTTAACTCCATTCCAGTTTCATTTCACTCAGCATTTAACCTTGTCCTTGCTCCCTTAGATTGTCAAGCAAGTGTATACAGATGATCTTTGTGGACCTAGACTTATCTCAAATTCTAACTGATAAGGACTCTTAGTATTATATATGCCAAAATAACATTGGAAGGACAGCCCTGGCAGAAGATGTTAGATCCAAATATATTTCACTTTGTCTGTTCTAAACAAAGGTCTCTTGGTGCACCTGGGTGGCTCAGTCAGTTAAGCGTCTGACTCTTGATTTCGATTCAAGTCATGAACTCAGGGTCATGACATCGGGCTCAATACTTAGTGGGGAGTCTGCTTGAGATTCTCCCTCTGCCCCTCCTCCCACCAATGCCCTCGCTCTCACTCTCTCTATCTCTCACATAAGTAAATCTTTGAAAGAAGGTCTCTTGGAATCCTGCTGGCCTGGGATTAGCTGGCACTTGGAAGAGATACATAAACAAGGCCCTGAAATTCCAGTTGACCCAGAAATAGACTATAGATCCTTAAGATGAGAAAACTTCCCATTTGACAATTTCCATACAATATTATTCTGTACATTGTTCAATTACAGATCTAAGGGTTATCATTTCAATTGCTAACCAAGAAAAACCAACTCTGTATTTAAAAAAAAAAAAAAAAAGCCTCTTAAAGTCCTGGTGAGATTTTTCTCTAGGTTTCTCCTGAAATCATGGTAGAGAGAGACTCATCCTGCGGACTAGTTGATGACACTGAAGATGATGGACTGACCACACAGATTTGTCTCTTTTTTTTTTTTTAAATATTCATCTTCATCATTAAGCCACAGGAAAGCCAACCAGTGGTGACAGCTGTATATAAAAGAAGCAGTTGAGCCAACCGATATGCTGATGTTTGAGAACACTTTTCTTAATGGTATGAGGGTGTCTCTGATTACCAAGATTTGCTTGATCATTATTACCCTACTAACTCAGCAATACTTCTGTCACACATTACACTTTTATAAATGCTTTACTATACATTCCCTCATCTAATCAAACTATAGGAAAAGAGGGCACAGAGGTGATAAGGAAACCAAAACAGCAGTCATCTGCCAAAATTTAAGCAGTTATCAGACAATTCCAAGGCTGGAATTTAGTTAGACCTCCTGGCTCTAACTTAGTCCTGTCATTTCTAGCCAAAGATAATATGGCATTTAGGTTCCAGAACAATATCATCTAAGAGGAAATATCCAAACTTCGAGAAAGTCTACTGCCTGATTTAAAAAAGAAAAAAGGGGGCACCTGGGTGGCCCAGTCATTAAGCATCTGCCTTTGGCTCAGGTCGTGATCCCAGAATCCTGGGATCAAGCCTCGCATCAGACTCCCTGCTTGGTGGGAAGCCTGCTTCTCCCTCTCCTACTTCCCCTGCTTGTGTTCCCTCTCTCGCTGTGTCTCCCTCTGTCAAATAAATAAATAAAATCTTAAAAAAAAAAAATGATCATTAAGAAAGAACCAATTTGAGAAAGACTGGTAGCAAGGGGACATGGTGATGACAGTGCAGAGCGGACTTCATAGAATGGCACTCAGCCATGTGAGCCAGTGTTCCGCCCCCAGCTCAGGCACTGAAATGTCCTGGTAGCTCTTGCCGCTGCTTCTGTCATGCCAGGTGACCGACCACTGAAATTCGTAATAAAATGACTGTCACAGTGAAGATTCCTAGGTTTGTTGAGATGGTGATCACAGCATGACCAAATAGGTGACACTTTCCATTCTCTCCAAATCATCAAAAGAGCTACTGTCTGATAAAATTCATCTCAACAAATACTAAGTACTTGCTATTGTGTGCTGTTCTGTACCAAGCTTGGGGTTAAGGACATGGGGAGCAGGAAAAAGGAGAGAACACATCCAATTTGTGAGATTAGGGAAGACTTTTGGAGGACAGAGCATTTGAGATGGACCTGGAATAATACCTAGGCGAGTGGTTCTCAAAAGTGTGCTTCCTGGACTATTAGTATCTGTCACACCAGGAAACTTGTTAGAAATGCAAATTCTTGGGGCACCTGGGTGGCTCAGAGGGTTAAGCCTCTGCCTTTGGCTCAGGTCATGATCTCAGGGTCTTGGGATCGAGCCCGGCATCGGGCTCTCTACTCAGCAGGGAGCCTGCTTCCTCCTCTCTCTCTGCCTGCCTCTCTGCCTACCTGTGATCTCTGTCTGTCAAATAAATAAATAAAATCTTTAAAAAAAAAAAAATGCAAATTCTTAAGCTCTACTCCAGCTTTATCAAATCGTAAGTTCTGGGGTTGGGAAGCATGGCATCTGTTTTAATAAGTCATCCAAGGTGATTCTGATGCACAATCAAGTATGAGAACCACAGTGCTAGGATCTGGACAGCAAGAGATGATAGTTTCAGAAAAAAGGATTCAACCCAGCACATACACCAGACCATCCATTGTCAGTTCCTACTAATCTTCCTGGATTTATCTTGACCTACATGTTCTTAAGTCTGCTTTTAATTATTATCCTTCACACATTCTCCTCCTTTGATGGTTCCTATTCACTGCATTCCTCTCAGATCCCTGATCCCACTGTCCTCCACTTTTACTGAATTTTACTAGCACTTAAGCACCTGTGTTTCAGGCCCCTGCATGTTTTTCCCAAACTTTTACCTCCCTTCCCAGCTCCATTCCTCGATCCCCGTCTGCTCCTCTTAATTATCCGTGGCACATCTCCAGTCCCCATTTACCACTCACACGGTCTTTGCACAGGATTGCCAGGTAATCCACATCATTGGGATCCACATCACTGCCTTTTCCTCTCTTCTGAATCAGCTCCCAAAGAATGTATTCTGCTGCTCTCTTCCCCACTGGCCTCTTAATCTCTTCCTTACATTGTCATATATGTTTTGACAGTGCCAAATATCTAGTTTGTTCATTGTATGTGACTTCGTTTTTTATAACACATTTATAACATTTACGTGTTCGTTCTTTCATAGGCTTTGCTTCTCAAACCTAGACTAGGACATGTTTGTGTACTCTTTGTTACAGGTGATCAAACCAAAACTAAGAATCAAGCGTTGTCCCAGAAGGAAGATATGCCCAAGGACACAGAATTCCTTGGGAAGATAAATGACAGACTTAACAAAGACATTCCTCAACATCCTGAATCCAGAAATGCTACTGAAAGTGAGGGCAGATTAGAGTGGCAGCAGAGGGAAAGAAGACGCTATGCATGTGAGGACTGTGGGAAAAGTTTCAGTCACAGCTCAGACCTTAGTAAGCACAGAAGGACTCACACTGGAGAAAAGCCCTACAAATGCGATGAATGTGGAAAAGCCTTCATTCAACGCTCCCATCTCATTGGACACCACAGAGTGCACACTGGAGTGAAACCCTATAAATGTGAAGAATGTGGGAAAGATTTTAGTGGGCGCACAGGTCTTATTCAGCATCAGAGAATCCACACAGGTGAAAAACCCTATGAATGTGATGAGTGTGGGAGGCCCTTCCGTGTAAGTTCAGCCCTGATCAGACATCAAAGAATTCATACAGCACATAAGCTCTACTAAGATGGTGAAGTAACAGAAATTCTTTAGCTACTCAGGTCTCCTTAGATACCAGAGAATCTGCCTTAGGGACTGAGTATCCTGAATGCAGGCAAAGCTTCAGTCATCATGGAACATTTCTCTGGCACCAGAGAATCTATCTGAGAAGATTTCGTTTTCTTTCTAAATTAGTTCAGTTTCTTAGGAAGCATTTAAAGTTATTACAGAAAACCTTGTCTGTTGACAAAACTGCTCACTTGCAGCCCAAAATAACGATGTTTCTTGGTTGAGAGATAGTGAATTCTGCTTCTCAATTTTCTTTTTTACTTGACTATTCTGTGTATGACATTAGGCAAAGCATTCACATTTTTCTCTGCCCTCATTTCCCCTTCTGTAGAAGACACTGTAGAGGTCTGTTGTATTAAGTTAAAGGTATGCTGTATTAAGTTAAAGCTGCTTCTCAAACAGTACTATATATTTGTTTCCCATCACTACTGATATAATAGCCTAACACGGGGGGTGTAATCGTTTTGTGGAATTTGTTTGCCAATGCAAAAAAGAGGAAACCATCAGAAAAGAAGCAGAGTAAGGAAAACATTCAAGTGGAAAGGAAAGCAGTGAGTGATGAGTAGAAGCTGACCGTAATGGGGATAAATCACTCCTCTTCTGAGTCTCAGGTCCCTGTAAACTGAGAGACATGGGGAGGGATTGGTCCAGAACTATACTGTCTAGTGTAGTAGCCAGGGCCCACACATGGCTGTATAAATTTAAAATTAATTTCACTCAAAGTAGAGAATTCTGTTCCTTATCACAAGCAGCTAGCAGCTACTAAACTAGACAGCACAGACACAGGTCATTTTTATCATTGCAGAGAGTTCTAGAGGATGCTGTCTAACCAATCACCAGTAACATGTCTTCCAGCTTACATATTGTGTGATTCTGAGTTCAGGAAGGTAGTAAAAAAGACACCTAAGGAGACTGTAGTAGCAACAGGAGATAAAATACACACACTCTAAAAAAGGACTTAGTAATAACTTTATGGCACTTTTCCAGCCTTAAAAAGGAGTGTATTATAACTGAATGACTGAAGATTATTAAAGTAAATATAATAACCAAATAATCTAAATTGAAAGCTTAAGTTACTACCTCATCTCTAAAACAAGAGTGTAACTACCTTTATAAAGTAGCATCCCATCATATACCTATGCTGATATGAAACTGGGACTCTCAGGAGTTTAATAAACAATCCAATTTTTTTTCTGTTTGGCTTGGAAATGTATTAGCAGTTCATGTACTTGCAACAGTTTTAAATCCCTAGTTTGAAAATACTATCACATGACATAAATTGTGACCAGAGGCCCAACACATTCAAATGTATACCACCATCAAACCATGAATCGCTGGTTCTAGGACAGCCATCCCCAGAACAAGCAGGAAGGGATCTAATCTATTCCTGGGGAAAAGAAGTACACACACTTTCTTCTGTATTGTGACTGAGTAGTTAAACCACTACAGTCATTTCTGTGTCTTTACTACTGCTGGAAGATGAATCTTAAAATCACTCCTTGAGAACCAACACGATAAACTGAACTTTTATGTATTTTGAATGTAATGCTGTTTTAAAAAAAAATGTAAGTTTATTCTGAATGTCTACATCAACTGGTAGAAAATTTTAAAACATCAAGTTTCATACTCCTACTTGTTTTTATGACTTATAATTATCTGAGCCATATTTCAAAGCATTTGAAACAAAGGATTTTTTAATGGTCATGAAGAGAAAAGTAAAGTATCAAATCTTTAATATTAGAAACATCCTTATTTTAAAAATAAAGCTGGATGTTGAGTAATAGCTTTTCCCCCTTTACCTTTTGTCTTGCTGGGAAACAAGCATAGAAGCTGTTGGCAGTCGCTGTAAAAGAAAAGCTTGTATTTCTGATATGATCCCTTGAATTTAGAGACGCTTCTGCAATGGTAAGAAAGATCATTTTGGCTACCACAAGATTGGGTTTCTTAAGATTGATAAAGACATGACCTACTGATTTTCCTTTATCCTCTATATGCTAGAACATTCTGCTCAGATAGTTTTGAATACTATTCTGGTCTTCAAGTTGTATACCTTCAAAGGCTAGTGCAGATTAGTTTGGAGCACTGAGACAGACCATGCTACCCTTCTTTAGGTTTGGTGTTAATTCCAAATTGCCACCACAGTGTCCACCATCTGATAACAGAGGGAGGGACAGAAATATATGGGGCCAGACACAGCCTGGAGTGCTGCAGGCGAGAGAAACCTGGGATAAGTGCAGGTACAGGCAAAGGAGGCAAGAGGTTCAAGATCTGAGTTATTGCTGGTACCAGAGGCAGCAGATGGTGGTGTCCTGTAAGTGTGTAGAAGCCCAAAGGAAAGACCTGGGGAGGGCGCTCAAGCACAGCCACGATTACCGGAAGAGAAGATGCAATACGGTAGACACGGCAACTACAGCTGCTTGGGTCTAGCAGAGAGACTTTCTCAGTACACAGCACCCACTCTAGAAGAACCCAGTTTCTCAAGCAGTTGTGTCAGAAGCATATGCGTTGCTCCTTCCATCTTTTTGGAAAGATTAGGATTTTTTTTTTTTTTGAAGGAGGCAAGAAGTTGTAGTTTGAAGTTTTGTGAACTAACAAGACAGCTGTGATTTTAAGAGGCACCTAAAGGGTGTATGGGACAGGTCTCTTAGACACAGATGGGGATGGTGGTGAAGTGGTGATTCTGAATGAGGAACTAACAGCTCTGAAGGGAGGAAACAGAGTAAGTGCTGGGGGAGGAGGGGCTATAGGAGGTATGTGTAGGCATTGGTGAATAAGATCGGGGAAAGGGAGGAAAAAAAGGAACAAGGATACAGGGAAAAGAACAAAGATAAAACAAGAGATGGTGATAGGGAGAGATAAGAGTATAACAATCTAATACTGGCATCAATTACACTTGAGCCTAGATCACAGGATACAAGCCATACGAAGGAGAACAGATGAGCTCCTTATCCCAAGGTACACTGAATTTCATGAGTACAGCCCATATCTATCTTTATCCAACAGGTCATTCTCATCCTGAGCATGACATTATTTGTTTATAACCAAAAAGTCCATTAACAGTGAAAACACAACTAGAAACCTTGACATCAACAAAACAAGCTGTTCTCCCCTGACTGACCCCATAAGTGAGTCATGTTGAGGTTCTGAAGGATCAGCTTGCTCAGTCTTTCTTCCTCAAATCATATAGAGCAAGGTTTCTCCATCTTGCTTCTGTTGACATTCTCAGCCAGACATTCCCTTTAGTGCCCTGTCCCCTGCAGGGCAGGGCGTTTAGGGGTATTCCCGCTTCCAACCTACTTCTGACAAGCATTTTTTAAATGGGAGAGCAGGTGCCCCCTTGAGGCAGAATCACCCCCAGTTGAGAACTGGTGTATAGGAAAATAATCTGATTTCCATAACTGTTCCTCACCATATACAGTAAGAGTCTACATAGAGATGGTGCTTATAACCAGCACTGCTAGACCCTTCTCCTACCTCAAAAAATGATTCCCAGAGTACCTAAGCTCTAAATGGTAATCATGCTGAAGAATCAGTCTGCTTTAGGAAGCCACACCTCACTGTTGAAGACCAGAGGAATCTGCCCTCAGATGAGCTTACACTGCATTTTTTAAGACTTTTCTCTTCCACCCGCCCCCCATACTTGTGGTGCTACCCACTCTTTTGCCCCCTGACCCAACCATGAACAGACTTTTTGATCAAGATTTGCACTGTCCAGTACAGTAGCCATCAGGTATATATGGCTTTGCAGCTAAAAAACTACTTTTTTTTTTAAAGATTTTTATTTATTTATTTGACAGAGAGAGTGATCACAAGTAGAGAGGCAGGTAGAGAGAGAGGGGGAAGCAGGCTCCCCGCTGAGCAGAGAGCCAGATGTGGGGCTCAATCCCAGGACCCTGAGATCATGACCTGAGCCGAAGGCAGAGGCTTAACCCACTGAGCCACCCAGGTGCCCCATAAGAAATTACATTTTTTATTTCATTTAATTTTAATTAAATTTTAAAACATAATTCAGTTATTGGAAACCCCTTATGTTTGGTGTGATTTGGGTATGTGAACCTACTTTTAACATTTTAAATTTTGTATAATTTCAATAATTATTTTCAATGAAAACTGCATTGAAGTTTGCAATAACTAGAAACAAATCAGCTTTTAAAGATTTAGTATAAAAAATGAATGTAAGTTTATATTGATTAGATGTTAATATTTTGGATATACTAGTTTAAATAAAATATGCTATTAAAATTAGTTTCACCTGTCTTTTTACTTTTTTAATGTGGCTATTAGAAAACTTTACATAGGTAGATCACATTATATTCCTATTTATTGGACAGCCTAATCAAGATCTCACCTCAGGGTACATCCAATTCTCTATGTTTCAAACCACTTTTCTTTTTCTTTTCCTTTTTTTTTGGTCAGAGAGAGTACACACAAGCAGGGGGGTGTGGGAGGCAGAGGAGAAGCAGGCTCTCCTGCCAAACAAGGAGCCCTGAGCAAGGAGCCTGATGTTGCAAGACTAGATCCCAAGACCAAGAATCATGACCTGAGCCAAAGGCAGACACTTAACTGAGCCATCCAGGCATCCCTCAAACGACTTTCATTCTGTGAGACTAAGTTCTATGATGCCAAGGACTTTTTACCTATTTCTTCTTATCGATTTGTTCAACAAGTACTTACCGAGCACAATGCTATGTGCTACAGAGACAAGGGCAGGCTGCCCCAAAATGGACCACGATGGCAGACTGATTATTTTAAATAAAAGTTACTTAAAAGACAGATGGTGCAAGGACACTGAGACCTCCTCTGTGTCCCCCTGAAAGCGGGAAATAAATCTCCCGTGTGAAAGGTACCCTCCCAGTACCAGGAGGTAAAGAGACATCCTTATCACCAGAGATAGGAAATTTAGACCCCATGTTACTGTTTACTAATCTACCACCCCAGCCCAAGTTCTGTTTAGAATTCCTTACTAACTGAAGCTCCCAAAGTTGTTTTCTTTGTCCTATCAAATCCTCAGATTTATCATCTCTTTGTCTGAAAAGTTTAAAAACTGTCTGCTTTGGTCATTTCCTTAGGTCTTAAGTTCATTATTGGGCTTCCATCTGGTCTTTTCTACTGTTAATCTGTTTCCATTAAATTTAATTCTTAGCCCAACTGGGAGACCACAAAGGGTACAGGAAGAATTTTTTCTTCCCCTTTAGTGCCAAGCCCCTATTCTAGGTACTGAGGACATAATGCAGAATGAGATAAGATCTCTGCCCTTATAAGCCTATGTTACAGTAAAGGGAGATACCCTCACAGCAGTTAGAATGGCTATTATCAAAAAGACAAGAAATAACAAGGGTTGATGAGGATGTGGAGAAAAGGAAGCCCTCATGCACTGCTGGTGGGAAAGTAAAGTGGTGCCACTGTGGAAATCTGTATGAGGTTCCCCCAAAAAACTAAAAATAGAAGTATATGATCCTGCAATTTCATTCTGGGTATTTATTCAAGGAAAAAAAAAACTGATAAAGATATATGTGCCCCCATGTTCACTGCAGCATTATTTATCACAGACAAGACATGGAAACGACTTAAGTGTCC